CCAAAAGCTGCAGAGACAGAGAGAGCAAAATATTAGGGTTTTTTTTTCCCCTCTCAAGATGAAGCAAGCAGCAGCAGTACACACAGATAAATCCATAATTTACCTTTACACACTGTGCTGAGAATTACAATTAATGCTGTTGGTATGAAACTGATGAGTCCTTGCAGACGAAGATGTTCGTGTGATAAATTAACTGAGGCTCTCTTTTATGACGAACTGTGTAAAAACTGCTTCAAGTCTACATTTCTACAACTTTTCATGTGAAGTGAGGAAACGATGAGAGAGCAGCATTTGCAGCATGAGCATGAATACATTTTACATTTTAAAAAAAACCCTATTTTGTGACTGAAGTTCCTTGGACTCTCTGTTTACCAAAAAAACGTGCCCTACATTATTTCTGTTTGCTGCTTGTGAAAGCTCCTCCTAAACTGAAATATGTGTAATTTCTATCCTGAACCAAGGCAAGTCAAGAAAATTTGGTCTTTCTCCCCTAAAAACAAAAAATTCTCACTTCCCAGGAAATCTCTTGACCCATACCATTCTATGTTTCTGCTGTTCCTCAAACCTTATCACTTTTCCAACAGAAGATAGCTAAAAAGGGTAGGGAGGTGAAAGGAAATACAAAGACTGGATCAACTGCTCAAATGCCTTATATTCTGCTGAAGGTGAGTCTTAAACAATACTACATTCAATCAGTGGCATCTTGTAATTATTACATCTCTATACCTAATGATTAGGTATAATCATTAGAAAATACGAACATATATCAAGAATATACACCTGAATAATTTGCAGACACAGTGGGGAAGAGAGAAAGGTGAGTTCCTCAGAGGGAATCTAGGCAAGGCAACAATAGCAGCCAAAGTTCCAGAAAAATCAGATGCTTGTCCCCCTAAGCTGTCTTAGCAAAAAAACAGATTTCATTTTTCATTACACAGCAGTGGAACAAAAACTGAAATTTGAAGTTGGTGCCACACCACATGGAAACACTCCCTGTGACTTCAAGCCTGGAGTCTTGCTCTGTTGGAAATTTATGGCGCAATGTTTGATTACAAAGTTTTGTTACACATCTCTTGGACTTTCATTCTTTGGTGAGGAAATAGGTACCTATTTTACATAGAGATTTCCCTTTTTGGCATGTACCTTCTGCCTTTTTTTTTTGCTCTCAGCTCTGGAGAAAAAGCGCTCCAGAAGCACAATATGCTCATATTTATTATGAGAGTGGTTGAACATCACCATCTTCTCTGCACCTTCATATGTACTTCTCTTAAGGAATCTTACTTGGGCTAGACTAACGAGAAAAAAGTCAGCAAGTGAGACAGCATGGGGGACAGAAAGTGTCATAGGAAAGACCAAGAAGGGAAAAATGATAGAAAAATATAAGAAAAAAACACTAAAGAAGCTGTGTTGAGAACCTAGTACATGCTTCAACTCAGCTTATCTAACACTGTACACCTAATGGTGGCCCTAAGTTAGAAGCATCGTCATCCTCTAATTCCTACTACAGGCAATGGAAAGAGATGGACATCTCCAGAGAATGCTTCAGAAATTACTCATACTAAGTCTTCAGACACCAGCTCTCATGAAGCCTCCTGGCCATGTTTTTTTTTTCCAGTTTAAGGACAGGCCACAGTTACAACACAACAATTTAACCAGATGGAACAGGATAGAGAGAAACCAACTATGTTTCCTTAGACACCACCAGCAGATGTTTTTTGATGTGAAGCACTTAGGAAAAAAAAGTGTGCATAGACTCCATCAGCTCTTTAAACAGTGCTCCTTTGTTTTGCATTCTTACACTCACATGCATTTCTATTCTCATAAAGCTGAAAATACATAATGATAAAAGTTGACCTGTCCATCTGGAGAAAGTGCCACGTAGCAATTGATAACGCAGGGCCCAGTAGAAAGCTGAAGAACTACGGGAAAATGCAATGCTACACTGAAAAAAAACGCTTAGCTAAGGAAGCAGTGGAAAAGTCCATATTCCCTAATCTTTCTGTATTATACACAGAGTAATGTATCATCCTACTTTGAATTTCTAACATGAAAAATTGTTTTTTTGAGCTACCACACCCTGCATCAGTTGGACACTCTCTTTCACCCCATCGCAATATTTGAAGCCGTAAAGGAATAAGACAGGCTTTTCCTTTGACACCAAATACACCTTCTGGTAATGTGGCCCACAAAGGAGCACAAAGCTAGTGTTAAAGTAGTCATGCTTGAGTGTGGTGCCACTTAAGGCCTCTTCAAATTTGTTTTTATTCTTGATATGGGATGCCAGATATTTAAGTATGTTTTGAATGTATTTCTCTCAACTATTGTAAATTCTTCCAGACAATTGCTCTAACTAGTCTGCAGAGAGACTGAAAGGTTCAGATGATTCGCTCTGAAGGGCTGCAGCTTCTCTGGATTTAAAAAAAAAAAGAAAAAAAAAAAAAAAAAAAAAAAAAAAAAAACCACAGCTAAACATTTTCATTTTAGATGATATCTGGCTGCTTGCTGAAGCAACTATGTTATGGTCAATTCATTGGCTACGGTCTTGTGGTTGGAGCATACAGGTCAATAACTGCTCATGCAACAAAGCTTTTATAGTTATTAGAGATGTCATAGTAAACACTGAAACTAGCATAGATAAATTTCCTTTATGATACAATGAAATCACGCTGAGGCATTTCTCTAGGGCAAAAACCTCCAGTAGGTATGCTAAAACTTATTTTTCCTTTTTCCAAATAACAGTATACTCATTCACTACTTGTAGAACAATCTTTCTCCTGCCTTTCACCCCATCCTATATGCCAGCCTGATATGATGGTAGAGCATATAATGCACAATCAATGTTTAAGAGAAAATTCATCAAGAAAAAAAAGCAGTTATACACTGTTCTGTCTTCTATGCTCTTTTTCCCATTCTCCTCCTCATACTAAATATCAGTAGTTTTTATTATAAGATCAGGATCATTTCATGTTTAAAGTTATCAGATTGTCATACAAAAAGAACCCCATAGCATTAATAAAACGTAGTCAAATGTCCAACTCAGGCTGCTCATTGGGGCACTAAAACAAACAAGACAAAAGGGATACAGTATATGCTAATGCATATGAGATCTCTCAACCGCTGTGTACAGCTGAAGAAGGAAATTCCCACATGTGAAGGCAAATGTCAGCTGCTTAAAATCCCCTGTCAGCTTTGAACATGGCAATAGATAGCACTCTCCACTACAGGCCTTTCTTTTTTAGACCAGAAAAATGTCTTATGCATATGGGTGTATATACACAAATTAAATATAGAAATACAAATCTCAGGACAGTCACATCAACTTCTATCACAGACTACTACAGCATGGATAAATAGCCACAGCATTTCTTAAAAAGTGCATCTCACAGTAGCTAAAATCTCAGTAACTGCTCTCATTTTTCAATGTCAAAAATAGATTCATATACTTTAAGATCTAAATTGATTTGACTGACAGTAACTGACTCTGAAGTACTACATTTATATTTAGACATCTCTTTACACATACTCTACTGAACCAAGTCACACTTAGCTATTCATACATTAGTTCCAGAAGTGATGGGTTGTACCAACTGCTAGGATACATCACACAAAGACACCAGTGAAGTTTTTCGCTGCATTGCTTCTTGCCTTTAATAATCAAGATCTAGAACTAAAGATCCTTCTGATCTTTTGGGAAGAAGAAACGGAGAAATTCTCACTTATGCAGAAACTGAGTTTCTACATAATTTATGTTATAGGTGTCTACCTTTCAATAAACATTGGAACTCTCAGCTTATTTTACTTATAATCATATGGAAGAGAAATCTACTAATGTAAATAAAAGCTTTACATTCAAAGAATTAGTTAGGAGATCTGCAGGGACCTTCCACTCACAAAACTCATCTGTGGAGCCAGACTTACACAAACAGAAGTCTGAGAATTCCAGAAAATGCCCATTTGCAGGTAGAAATAAATAGTCATAGGCTGAAGACCAAGAGACAAAAAACAGAGCTACAAATGGAAAATAAAGTTATTTGAGCTTTTAAAATTCAGAAAGGGCTGAAACAAAAGTCAAGCAAGATAACTTTTTATTCCCTAGCTTAAGAATAAACTCTTGTTTTGTTTATCTCCTGTATTTCTTTTTCTTTAAAGACGGAAATAAAAAATAAGCATTAAGTGGCCTTTTCAGCACAGAATTTCACTGAAGGAGCTCAACCAAAACTAACATCCAAAAAGTTTTTAAAATGTGTTTAAGGTAAATTACCTTTTTCTATACCTGTATCAATACAATAGCTTAGGAAACCCAACTATCTAGATTTATCATTCAAATTTTACCCATTACAGCTTGTATGAAAAAAAAATAAATAAGGAGAAAGCAAACCCATAAAACTAAATATCATAAACTGCTTTATAAACTAATTTTAGCAATGATGCCAAAAAGAAAAGAAAAAGTGAGATAAGCTTCTAGAATAGCTCTAATCTACCTTAAAGTGAGTTTAGCCAAGATTTTACTGTAAACTTAATCATTCAACATTTAAAGACTTATCCTGCATATTTTCTGTGGGAAAGATACACGGTATAGAGAACCTAATGGCCTAGAGCACTGAAAATACAGAGCATAGGTAAGCTTTGCTCCTGATTACTAACTGGGAATTTTTATATTTCTGCATTCCTTTCTCAGATCATAGACACTCCAGTGACTCTACTAATTGCATCCCACTGACATCCAATCCCTAAAAAGACAACTTATTCTATCCAGAACAACTTGGAAGATCATTTCACATGGCTCAATAAAGACAAATATTTGCCACAGGGCTGCAGTTTATGCAGAAGTTTCTCAGCTGGATTCTCAGTGGCCTCTCAGCAGCATAAAAGCAGAACAAAGCAACAGGAAAAAAAAAAAAAAATAGCAGCTTCTGTTACACTGTTACAGTTGGTATTACAGCTAGAAAGATTATCATGGTGAAAGAGGGAAAAGAAACAAAAGTGGAATGAACACTCACCTATATCCAAAGATCCAGATTTGCAAGAAAGACTCCACAAAGAGACATCCAGAAAGAGACCGTTCCCTAGTGGCAGTCAGCCCTTAAATGCGGGGGTCTAGGTGAATTCACAGCTGAATTACCTTCACCTGTGCTCCCAACTGACTCAGTCCTTTCCTCAGGTGATTAATCAGTGGTTCAGGCCAATGGCTTCATTTTCTTTATGTAGTTCTTCTAAGCACAGCTGATCTCCATTATTTTTCCTCTAATACAGTCCCTGCTATTCTACCAGTGACTATCATCCTCCCAGATTCTCTTAAATTCCTTGAAATTTTGTAATTTCCTGTGAAAACAAGATTTTTTTTGTTGTTGCTGTTACTGTTTATGCCTTTTATTGAAGGTAAAGTTAAACAATTTACAAAAATTACTTCATCAAATTAAGGTCTGCTGTTATTTAAATAGCTATCAAAAAAATCAGAGAATTATAAATTCACATTTGAACTTTAGCAAATGGCACTTCTACAGTCTGGTTCAACAGTACTCTAACAAAGCTGACTGGTGATGAAGTTATAAAACTACAGGTGCAGGTCTGAAAATGAATACAAACAAGTCATTCACACCAAGAATCACACTTTAAGAAGTTACATAGAGTCACCTCTAAGCTTTTGTTCTTTCAGTTTCTTACCACTTTTGAAATGATTGATGCCTATTCCACAAAAAATGAGATAGCAGAAGGAATTTTTTCCTCATATAAATCAACTCAGGTAGAAACGTGCTGAATGCTAATTAAGATAGGAGTCAGCCTGAAATTAAAACTAATTTCAGCTGTAACTGTAAGGAGGTCCACCACACAACTTAAAGAAGTAAAATATCCTGAGTTGGAAAGGACCCATAAGGATCATCAAGTCCATCAGCCCCACACAGGACTATGTAATAATTAAATCTGTCCTGAAAATGGAAAGCAGAACACAAGAAAGTTCCTGGTTCTTTGCTCTATGCCATCAAACAGGAGCCTTCCAGGCCACAGAAACTGGGATAATCTTCTTATCATTCTACATCATTTGAGCACCTTGTGAACAGCTTGGAAAGCACAACAAAAAATGTTCTTTTTCTCCTAAGAAACTCACTCAGAATCCATTTTTAAATCACAGAATCACCAAAGTTGGAGAAGACCTCTAAGATCATTTAGTCTAACTGTCCACATATCACCAGTATTTCCTGCTAAACCATGTCCCTGGGTACAATATCTTTCTTGAACACCTCCACAGTCAGTGATTTCACCACTTTCCTGGGCAACCCATTCCTACACCGGACCACTCTTTCAGAGAAGAAGTATTTCCTAACATCCAACATGAATCTCCCCTAGAGCAACTTGAGGCCATTCCCTCTAGACTTACTGCTAGTTACAAGAGATTAAAGGCTGATCCCCACCTCATCACAACTTCACTTCAAGCAGTTCTAGAGAGCCTCCCTTCTCCAGACTAAGCAATCCCAGTTCCCTCAGCTGCTCCTTATAAGTGCTCCAGACCCCTCATTGGCTTCTCTGGACATGCTCTAGTAGGGCCTCAATGTCTATCTTGTAGTCAGGAGCCTAAAACTGAACGCAGTATTCAAAGTGCACCCCCACCAGACAGAGCTGAATACAGAAGGATGATCACTGCTCCTGCTGGTAACACTATTTCTGATATGAGCCAGGATGTCATTGGCCTTCTTGGCCACCTGAACAGACTGTTCAGCTGAGCATTGACCAACACACCCAAGTTCTTTTCCTCTATACTGTCTTCCAACCACTCTGCCCCAAGCCTGTAGTGTTGCCAGGGGGTTTTGTGGCCAAAGTGCAGGACCCTGCATTTGGTCTTGTTGAAGCTTGTCCTATTGGCCTCAGCCCAGATATCCAGCCTGTCCCAATCTTTCTGTAGGGCCTTTTTACCCTCAGGCAGATCAATTCTTCCTGCCAACTTGGCGTCGTTTGCAAACTTACAGAGGGTACACTCTAATCTCCTCCTCATCCAGATCACCAATAAAGATGTTGAACAGCATTAGCCCCCAATACCAATCCCTAGGCAACACCACCTGTGACCAGTCACCAGCTGAATTTAATTCCATTCACCACCACCTTTTGGTTCCAACCATCCAGCAAGTTTTTTACCTACTACAGAGTGTATCTGTCCAAGCCATGGGCTGCCAGCTTCTACAGAAGAATAATATGTGAGACAGTGTCAAGTGCTTTGCTGAAGTCTAAGCAGACTAAGACAGCAGCATTTCCCTCATCCACGAGGTCACTCAATCAGAGAAGTTCAGGTTGCTCAAGCAGGACCTGCCTTTCATGAATACATGCTGTCCAGACCTGATCCCCTAGTTGTCCTATACAGATGCCACGTGATCTCTTTCAAGATAATCTGCTCCACAACCTTATATGGTGCTGAGGTCAGACTGATTGACAGGCCTGTAGTTCCCCAGATCTTTGTATACGAGAGTCACATTGGCAAGCCTCTAACCCTTTGGGGCCTCTCTGGTCAATCAGGAACACTGATGGATAGTGGAAAGTGGCTTGGTTATCACCTCTGCCAGTTCCCTCAGCACCCTCAGGTGGATTTTAGTGACAGAAGTGATACTAGCGACAGAAAATTTGAAAATTGCAGATATGTCATCAAGTTTTTAAAACAAATCTGTGGGCCTCTCTGATGAAAATTGTCAGATAATTAGCTGATTTAACAGAAGACTCTTATCTACTTGAGACAAATACGTACAGATGGACAAGATGATTTAATCCTGATTTCAGAAGCAACTCTCATCTTTGTAGTGTAACAAAGGCTGCTCTAAACAAGATATACTGAAAGGTATTAAAAAATGACAAACATATCTGTTTTAAAAAGAAACTGGAATGTATAATAATTGAGTTGTGGTTTTGTCACAAATACACATAGGTAAAAAGATTGTCTGCATAATTCAATATTGAATTGCAACATTAAATGAAAGCCATTCTATTATTTAGCACATCCTATATACTTCATAAGAAATTATGAGAGTTATGAAGCATGTAGTAGACCCTTGATGTTCATCACATAAGACTAGAGGAATGATGTTATACAGCTCTGCCAAATGACAACCAAGCAACCCTGTTTCCATGAGCAATACACATGGTAAATTTTTCTCACATCACGAGTATATTCAAAAGACGGTCATGAGTGGTGTCCCCCAGGGTTCAGTACTGAGGCCACTTATATTTAGTATCTTTATTAATTATTTTGATGAGGGTACTGAGTGCACCCTCACTATGTTTGCAGATGACACCAACTTGGGAGGGAGTGTTGATCTGCCTGAGGGGAGAAGGGCGCTACAGAGGGACCTGGATAGACTGGATTGATTGCCAAGGCAAACTATGAGTTTCAATAGGGCCGAGTGTCAGGTCCCGCATTTTGGTAACAACAATCTCAGGTAACCCTAGAGGCTTGGGGAGGAGTGGCAGGAAAGCTGCCTGATGGAAAGGGACCTTGGTGTACTGATGGACAGTTGGCTCAATATGAGCCAGAAGTGTGACCAGGTAGCCAAGAAGGCCAATGGCGTCCTGGCTTGTATCAGGAATGGTGTGGTAAGCAGGAGTAGGAAAGTAATCCTGTCCCTATACTCAGCATTGGTGAGGCCTCACCTCGAGTGCTGTGTTCAGTTTTGGGCACCTCAGTATAAAAAGGACATTGAGGTGCTGGAGCAGGTCCAAAGAAGGATAACAAGGCTTGTGAAGAGCTTGGAGAATATGCCCTATGAGGAGAGACTGAAGGAATTAGGGCTGTTTAGTCTGCAGAAAAGGAGGTTGAAAGGAGACCTTATTGCTCTCTTCCAATATCTGAAAGTTGCTTACAGCGAGAGAGGGGTTGGCCACTTCTCACTGGTGACAGGTGAGGGGAAATGGCCTCAAGTTGCACCAGGGTAAGTTTAGGTTGGATATCAGGGAACACTTCTTTACAGAAAGGGTTGTTAAGCACTGGAATAGGCTCCCAAGGGAGGTGGTTGAGTCACTATTCCTGGATGCGTTTAAAAACTGTTTGGATATTATGCTCAGGGACATGACTTAGCAGAAAGTTGTTAGTTAGGATAGTATGGTTAGGTCGTGGTTGGACTCAATGATCTTTAAGGTTTTTTCCAACCTGAGTGATTCTTTGATTCTAAGACTTTAATATCCTTCCAGATTCTCCACCACAGTGGGGAGAAAGCTAAATTCACTGCCCTCAACATTACTGACTAGCACATGGAAAAAGAAAGATTAAAAAAAGAGCGAGGAGACCTTTTCTCAGCTGAAGTCTATAAAGAATTACATGCTCTCCGCCTTCCTCAACTGATCTCAAAAAAATCCCTATAGGTATCTGTATGACAGAGCATAAATACTATCAAAGCACAAGTAATTAAAACACTCCAAGTTTCAAATTCAACTGCCAGCTGAAACAGAGAGAGCACAGGGTTCAAGGCTGCTCACTTCCCCACACTGAAGACAGGTGAGATGAGAAGCCAGACAGACATGACGGCACTGCGTTCAATTTGAGATCACTTTCGGAAGCTACAGAATGTATCTTTCCATATTAGAACAGCTGGAGATGAAAAGCTTTGTAAGCCAACCGCAAACGTCCACCCCTTGAGTCACCATGTGGGTAAGCAGCTCCCCACAGGTGTCCTTTGAACCTGTCTCATGTTCTGCCACCCCAGCCAAGAGCACCTCCCTTGGGACAAGCCAAGATCAAGCTAGGATATGGGCCTGGCTCAGTGGATCCCATAGCCAGGCAGGATTATGGGGATCTGGAGCCTGATCCTGCTGCAGCCTCACTGGGGAGTAGCTGACAGGACTGGGGCTGAGGTGGAGCCCTGGGCATGGGCAGAGGTAGGGAGTCCTCAGGTGGGCAGAGTGTTGGTGCCCCAGATCCTGAGCTGGGAATCCTGAAAAATCATTCACTATTTGAGCTGAACAGCCCCCAGCCAAAGTGCTAGACATTAAAAAAACAAACAAATGAAAAACAGTGTTTTCTAGCCATAATCCCAATCCCCTGTCTTTTGGAGACTTTACTTCTTTTTTTTCTGGCTTAGCTGCCCATTTCAGAAAAGTGAAAATAGAATTTCAAGAAATTTGACATGCCTGGTCATAATGTCCTCAAAGTAGTAAATATTACTACATCACAGAACTATGAACAAAAAGCCAAAAAGGTCATTTCATTTTATTGTGACTAGTTGCATCTTTCATCAGAGAAGCATTGCAGATGGAGAAAAAAGAAAAACATTTTGTTATCTTTCCTTTCTCTCTCTCTCCAAATTAATGCATTTACAGCCGCTGTTAAAATATAATTTACATCTTTTAAT